AATATAAACAACGATATGTATTTCAATATGACACGTTTACTACGGTATGAAAAACAAAAAAGAGGCACACTAAAAAGGTTCGTGATTGGAAATATCCACGACAAAATGTACCCGTCGGATAACTAGGAAGTTACGTTTATTGGAAGTATGTACGTTTATAATAATTGATTAAGGTACGAAGAATGTGGAGGGAAATTAGAAAACTTGTACAATTCCAAGCTCCTCGTGAAATATTCCAATTCGATCTGAAAAAATCAATACCAACAATAAAATTGTCACCTACTATATCACTGAAGCGAAGCTTTTTAAAATAAAAGATTAATGCAAGCGTCAAATATATTTACATAAATATAATTCCAATTGGAGGGGAGGTCTATCAATTACTATAACCTGATACACCAGAAGCTTTAAATCCGTCTTGGATAAATTTTGTTGTGAATAAGATAAACTAATGGATGCAGCTTTATGCGAGCACTAGTCGCTATTAAATATAATTAAAAACAACCGAAAATAAATATAATTCCAATTGGAGGGGAGGTCTATCAATTACTATAACCTGATACACCAGAAGCTTTAAATCCGTCTTGGATAAATTTTGTTGTGAATAAGATAAACTAAAGGATGCAGCTTTATGCGAGCACTAGTCGCTATTAAATATAATTAAAAACAACCGAAAATTATGGTCCGTTCCGTGTATCAGTGTTTATCGGCCATAGCTTGCCAGCACGGAAAATCCAATCGGCTCGAACAAGGTAGGCATAAAGTTTCGATGCGTTGCATCCAATCTCTTGTAAACCTGGCCATAATGCATCGGAGTGTATCTAGGACGGCAGTGTATTGCTGCCTATAACCGATAACCGACGCCGCGCGTCGGTGTACGGCACGCCAGTGCGTAATTGCATTTCGCGTGCGAACATTGTGCGTCCATTGTAACGGTACCATCCCACGGTGGGCCGAAATCCCCCAAACGTGACCAGAATACGAATTTATGACGTTTTTTTACAATCAACCCCGTGAAACTGGACATTTGAGTCTATATTTGCATAGCGTAACCGTAAAATTAAACAAATTAACTTTAGGACGAATAACTCGGATTTTTATTAACGACTATATCGATAAGTACCTACACCTGTTGGTGCAGCGTTTATAACAATATAATCGGTTCGTGGGAGCTATCTATGTACGCATTATTTCGTGTAATTAACTAGGGTAATTAAAGGACGAAAAATAATTTATCTGACGCCTAACGATACCATCGTGTCTGACCATTATCTCGTTCTACTTCAGCCCAATGGACGAGGCAAGTCAGTTGCGCCTCGTACAAAGGCTCGGTCTATATTTTCATATGTTTATGACACGTTCACAGTTATTTGTTTATGTGAAATATGAGCCGATTACTACCGAATTTTGCCGAAATAAATCGATGTCAGACGGGTGCCATCCACGCCCCGAACATCAGAACCCTTCTTACCTATAGCAGCAGTTTCTGCTCGGTCTATGTCTTTATATGTCTATGATTCCACCGTGGGATTGTCAGCCATTTTACACGCGTTCCACTCGGCCTCTGCGCGAAATTTTCATCGTTGCACGGATGTCGGCCAATTTTCCAGCACTTTTCCTTCGCCGGTATGAGAAAAGTTCTCGCGTTGGACGTTCGAGTGGGAGAATTACGGCGTTCCCGTTAAATACTCGCGAACGAGCATGTTTCGAGAACGAATTTTGATGAATTCGAAGGAATTTAAGTGGCTCGATATTTCAGAAAATGGAAGTCAGACAATTTTGAGAAATCGCTAAACTTTAAGAGAGATCATTCGCGTTCTAAGGGCCACGAAACGGGATCTAAACCGTAGGCGGTGTGCTATTGTCAAGTAGGAGCACGTTCGCCGGAGAGCATCATACGTCCTCGATAAATTGAGACACCCAAACCTGCTGGCCCAGTCCTCGGATCAGCCTATTAATGGATGGCGAGTGCCAGCAATATTGAGTTACGTGGCAATACCCTAAATTGCTTGACCGCCTTAGCGTCACCCCAAGCTCCACACGGTCTTCGCAACAATGCTCGCCGGTAACATCGATCTCACGATAATTACCGCTCGCCTGAGTGCACGTCCTTGTGTTCTTACTACAGGAGCCGCCATATTGACAAAGATATTGCCAAGGATGCTTAGTGCTCTGATACACAAGCGACATGCAGAGCCTGAGACAAAGCACGGGCGAGCAACGATAGATCGACATCGATGCTTGCACGAAAACCTCCGCAATTGCGTTACGAATGAAACGGTCAATTTCCAACTACTCTCAAGTCAGAAATACGAGTCGAGTTACTGTTATTCCAGTTCGAGAGTCCACCTTAATTATTATATTGAAACCTCCATGATCGCGTTGCGAATAGATTAATCGGTTTGCAATGACCGAAGCTCGAGAAATAGGTAGCGATAGGTACTCGGACTCCTCGTTTAAATAAATTTTGTTTCATTAAACGGACCGAGCGCAAAATTTCTTTCTTACGGATTTGAAGAGCGCATAAATAGGCAATTATGCGATTTTTTTGCTTGAATTTGATTGAAGTCGGAGGACTAGCCAGGCATACGTAAAAATAGAGCCAAAGATAGGAGCTAAATGTGAAACGCAATTTTCTTTAATTAATGACATAGCGAAGACTAAGTAGCTTTCTATTGGGCTTGTCGCTTTAACAAGTGGACGGCATTGTCTAGCAACAAGTAGAGCTAGAGACAAGCTCTAGATCTGGAATTATCTTTAATGACACAGATAACGAAGACATGACTAATTTTCTATTGGTCTGTTATCTCGATAGTCGCTCGATAAATCAAATGTCTTGCGTCAATCTAGCGTTAATAACGAACAAATCGCTCTAAAATAACACCGATAAGTAATCGCCGCTCCTATAAATAAACAAAGAAAACGTAGCAGCTTATTTTAAAGAAGATTCTTACAATTAATCGTGCCCTTACTATTGGCTTTCGCTTTAATCGTTGGCCGACCGTACGTCAGAGCCAGCGGGTGAAGTGTATGTTGACAAATCGCAAACAACGCGTAGCTCATGTCCCAAATTACAATGCCGGGCAGCCGGTTGTGATCTGTTAAGGGCCGCCTCGACTAACGACCGACAGAGCCGATCGCGAGCCAATCGAACGGCGTTTAATTGAATCGTAAATTGACATCGAACAACGATCCGTGGAATCCGTCGGACCGCAGACGCTGATCAAATCGAGGAGAAGAGTGCCGGCCCCTCTACCATCGTTCCTCGAAGACACGTGCACAAGCGTTCTAATCACGATCCTCGCAATTTCGGGGAAACCTTCGTTACACGAAGTTTCGCTACTCGAACTTACATGCACCGACGGCGAAATCGGCTTCGCCCACGTTCCGTAACGCGTTGGGAATTTGATTATAACTTTCAGAGTGCTTATCCCACGACCAATTGAAACCGGAGCAACCGGAGAAATTATAAGTGAATCGAATCGATTTCGGACTGGACATGGTGACATTTCCGAAATTGGGAAACGTCATTGGCGAACGTTAGCGTCAACGGTTTCCGAGAGCATTTTGTGGAAGAGTAAGGTTTAGGTAAGGTTTAGATTAGGAAACAGAAGGCGACTATGGTTGCACGTGCGTGTTGACCGATAGAAATTTCGGAACGACATTAAATAAATAGTATTCCACGCGGATAAAGTTTCTTAAACCGGTGGATTAGTGATAATTCAGAACAGAGAAAGAAAATAAGAAAATATCCTATACATAACAGTAACAGGCCTATAAAGTTGCAACAATCCCACCTACCACGTTTTCGATATGCTTCACATATTCCACTGTATTTTTAAGAAATATTCCCAACCCCACGACCGCTACCACTTATCGCAAACTAAGAAATCTGTTGTTCGACCCCATTGCAAAACGAGGATTTTATTTTAATTTCCCACCAAAGTGCGATCTCCTTCCTTCCCAACCACTTTCTATGCAGTCATTCACAGGCAACTTGGTACATTTATTATATCAGCGACGCCTGTCGATACCTACATCGGCGCTACTAATTTACAAAGTTGGCGGCATTGTGCGCGGAGACAATTAAGCTTAATAGCTCGGCCGGGTCCGTGAAGATTCTCGCGAAGAACAGCGCCGATATCGAGTCTTCATTGTCCCCTGCGCCGCCGTCGTAGGGACAATCCCGGGTCTGGCTAATAATTAAAATAGTTTCCGTGTAACTTCCACGAGAAGGGACGGTTTGGTTCGAGTTTCGCAAGTATACTCGTCCGTGCCCGCTACGGGACAATTCTTATTAATGGCTTTTGTCTTAATCTCGTTTCATTCTTATTTAGAGAAGCACGGCATCGAATCCACCGAAACTCCCGCGAACACTCGAGGCGAACTAAATATAATCAATCGTAAACTGGATCAAAATTACAACGTAACGAGAATCATCATGGAACGATACCTGCGCTACCGTGCACGATCATTATTGATTTGTTTTTGAGGGGGGTGGGTGTTGCGCGTGATCGTTGGAACACGGGACAGGGGAAATAAATGGAAATTCGGGGATTCTGATAGGAACCGAGTAAGGTTCCGTCGTATTTGATATGCTGTATTTAATAATTTAAATGCATCAAGAGCTAGCGAGCAATAACGCAGTTTAAATAGAAATTATTTCACAGTTTCAAGCAATTACATCTAGAGCTGACCAGTATTCGTATAAATTAACTAGAAGTCGGTTATATTATATTTGGGAACACGAAAGATCAACTTCGGGTCCATTTCTCTCGTCTATTACACGGAATTATAAAAAACCGTTTGCAATATTTAGAAAAAAAAAAGTGAAATCACAACAACATGTTGAATTTCATAGAAATAAACGACGTTCAGCTCTCGTGACCATAAATTGAATGAACGTCCGTTCGATGGAGGAAATTAATATTTAATAAATTAATATGGTAATATTCAATTTCCAGGATTAATTTACCGTTAAGTAACCACTGGTTTCTATTCGACAGCCGAAGCACAGCTGGGGAAACAAGGCATTCTGGAATTCCGTATGCTGTACGTGGGCGGTTACTCTCACGCCGGAGAGGAAATACCTCACTTCGTCGGGCAATTGCAGCAAATCTGGTTCAACGGGTATCCTTACCTGGAAATAGCGAGGAGTTCCGGAAATCATCAGACTGCTCATCAAGGCGTCACGCCCATCATTAAGGTCACGGGGAAGTTCGGCAAGAGGAACCATCCCGTTCACTTTCCGGTGACCTTCACCTCGAAGCACACGTTCGTTGGATTACCTGTGCTCAAAGCGTACGTGGAAACGAACATATACTTCCAGGTATGAATACTTCAATAACCAACACCTAATTCGACAACTAATTTTTCTTCGTATCTCCAACGAAGGGATGGGAAATAGGAATATCGTTTCCTATTTCGTAACCATTGGTCTTTCGAACGTACTCTAAAACACGAGAACAATTTTTAAAAACATTCAAAAATTTTAACGGAACAGTTTAAAGCGTGAATATACAGAAAAATATTTCACGATCTCTCGTTCTCTTTCAGTATCCATTACTAACATAGTAACGTAACTTCTCTCATATTTCCCCGTCGTTCAGAAATTAGTTTCAATGTTAGACTCGTTTGGAAAATTCGAACGCCTGAAACATGAATAACCATAAAAAACATAAATAATTTTACGAAGCTCACTAAACGATTAAAAACGCACCCCGAAGCGTCGTACCGACAAAACGAAACCCGCGTCCCTCGTAAAATAAATCAGCGATCAAAGAGGTCATTAACTTTTCGAGTAAAAGCAAGCACGGGACCTGGAATAGCTTAAAAGAAAAATCACGAAAAATCTGTCTCAATCATCCCTCGAAAATTTCAGCCACCGCTCGACCTCAAAAGAAATGGAATGTCGACGATGACGCGTCCCCACAAAAGGTTACCCCAATTAGAACCTCCCCCGCGTCCTTCCGTCGACCAGTCCACGACTCGATGCCAAAACTCTGGATTAATCGTGGCACGTGTCACGGCTGTTCCACGTAAAAACCCAATCACGTCCCTTCGCGGCGAGTGACGGACAAGCTCCTCTGGCCATCACCTTCGTAATTACGCTCTCCAGCCCGTAATTGACGGGATATCTGCTTTTTCCGCTGTCTTTCATCGGTACCCTGACCGCGACGCTTTGATAACGCCGGGGGAAAACGCGATCGGTTCGCGTAATCAAACGTACTCGTCACGGGCTATCGCACAACGACTCGTTGTTCGCCGTTGTGTAAACGTTTCCTGCGGTCAGCGCGAAGGAGAGATGATGAAATCGCCGACGCGAAAATCGGGATAATTAAAACGCGACGCCGGAGCTCGCCGGCTGGATTTTGTCGAAATAATTGCCAACCGGGCGGTATCCGCGGGGGCTAAGTGCACGAATTAGACCGATTGGAATTTTTTTTCTTTAATTGGGTCTCGCTGAAGAAGAGCCCCCACGCGCCCGAATGGAACGCGAATTACTGGATCGGGAACCTATCGGAATTTTTTTTAAAATGGGATCGTTTCACCGACGAGATTCTCTGCCGTGGAAAATAATGAGGGATCGATCGCGAAACTTTGATTTTATTATCGGGAGATACTCGGAGGAGAGATTTTTTCACTTTTTCAAAAGAAAGAAACAAAGGTAGCGTGGAAAATACTGCGGCACCTTTACCTTTACCTTGTTAGCGTCCTCTTTAAGACAGAGAGTAAAATTACATACGTGATGTAAATTAGTAGTTACTTGACAGGAAGTTCCGTAATATATAGATTTGTTTTTGTACGATTACTGGACATTTACTTGTTTATTGTCTACTTGATTATTGTCTACTTTGAATAGAGTACTTTGGAGCGCGGATACAGAAAAGAATATTTCACAATCTCGATGCTACGTCACGAAGAGGAGATGTATTTATTTTCTCTACTGAATCGTTATTCTTTACCTTGCAGTTCAAGACACGCGAGGCAAACGGCTTGATACTCTTCAACGCTGGAAGGGAACGCGACTTCATCGCCGTGGAGTTGGTGAAGGGACACGTTCACTATGTGTTCGACCTAGGTGATGGACCAGTCAAGGTCAGGGACAGCTCGAGGTCGAGCCTGAACGATGGGAAGTGGCACGCTGTCAGCATCGGTAGGCCAGCGCCTAAGAGGCACACGCTCGCCATCGATGACCATGTCACCGCTGTCAGTAGCCAGGGCAGCAACGAAAACCTCGATCTTGACGGGATCTTATATATCGGTGAGTAGAAGGTTCATATGTTATACTGTAAACTGTGCAAATTCTTATTTAGCCTAAATTTTTCTAGACACGTTCGCGAAGATTTTATTTTGCATAAAGCTCCGCAGTCTGTTAATGAGAAACGTTTTTTCAAAGGGACCTTTGGACTTTGTTCTTTAATAAAACACAAATAGCGTAGGAGTATATCCGATTTTATGTATTCGTTGTAATAATTGTACACCGTCACTGCACCGACGAAATGAAATTCTACGACTCCTTTCGTACAACTCTTTAGTTTCTCATCTCTCGTTTCCAACTGACAAGTAAGCATTTTCTGGAAATTGAATACAAGCGATTGGTACCGCTAATCCAATCAAGAATTCTATCAACTGGTATTTCATGTTTCTATAGTAGAAAATATTTTGTTCGTGTCGATAAAGTAAATAGTGTCGATGATATTGAGATTTCAGAAATAAAACAGTACCAGTAGAAAATTAGCCTGAGTCTGATCGCATTAGGCCCGTATTTAATTATGATTCGTGTTTATAAACGTTATGGCCACGTGCTACGAAATATCGTTGAACTTTGATCGAAGGTAATGTATATCTAAAAGGAATTCTCAAACAACGAATATCTCGAAATATTATTTAATAATCTACAACTCCGTCGATACATCGGATATTCTCGGATAAAATTATAAAACAAGAGTCATTAGGGATCGCGTCATGTCGCAAAAATGAACTCACCGATCGGACATATTTGTAAACGTATAAATAACAATGATGCGGATGCTCGTTTCTTGACAGATAACAATAATTACCGAAATTATCTCGCTACGCTCCGAATGAAATAGATTGCAATCAAAGCGACGACCGAAATACGAATTAGAATCGACAACAAATGTCACAGTTTTCAGTTAATTAACGTGAATGACGCGCTACTAATTAGCCAACCTTGTGGAAACAGGAAGTTGCACACCTGCACCAGGTGCGTCTGTGAAGTCAAAAAGAAACTGAAAACTTTGATCGCAATTCGAGATGTATAATCGCTAATTGCGAAGAGTCGGTTGCATAACAATTCTGTACATCGTTCGTCGTTGTTGTTTCATTCTTCTCCGCCATTGAATATTTGTTCGAAAACGGAGATTTTTAAGGTTTATATACATAGAGATGTTAGAACAGCGTATTTATTTGAATACAAGATTTAACGAGAATAGATCGACACGATGCGAGTGAGGTTTCGAGAAAGAAATACAACGTCTCTGCTAGAAATTGTTTAATTTCGAAGAATTGTTAACATAACGTTCAGCAGCTTTCTTGAGATACCTGTCACGATATCGTATTATTCGAATATAAGATTCGATAGAATTGAGACGATGCGATTTAAGATTCTAAAAAAAAAACTATTGCGATTACATTAGAAATTGTTTAATTTAGAAA